CTACTGCTACTGCTACTACTACCATTACCTACTCCTGCTACTGCTACTACTACTACTACTACTACTACTACCCTACCCTACCCTACCTTGCTGAATTTCAATATTCAGCAGAGTGTAACTTGCCCTCCATACCCTACCCTACCCTACCTACCCGACCCTACCCTACCCTACCCCTACCCTACCCTACCTTACCTTGCTGAGTTTCAATACTCAGCAGAGTGTAACTTGCCTTACCTGCCCGACCCTACCCTACCCTACCCCTACCCTACACTACCCTACCTTGCTGAATTTCAATATTCAGCAGAGTGTAACTTGCCCTCCCTACCCTACCCTACCCTAGCCAACCCGACGACTACGACTACTATCACTATCACTACTAGTACTACTACTACTACTACTACTACTACTACTACTACTGCTACTGCTACTACTACTACTACTACTACTACTACTGCTGCTGAATGATGTAACCTTATTATTCCATATGCACAGTGGGCCTTCTTGGTGTCCCACTGCCACATTCCAAGAGTCTCCGTGGAAGTAACGGTTCGCTGCACCGCAATGACTCGCGAGACGCCCCAATCCTCGCCCGAAAGGACGAACTCTTTGTAAAGCTCGTTGATGCGTTCCAGGTCTCAGCGTATCACACACTAGTTGGAAGAGGTGCATACCAATGCCAAATTATGGACGAGAGCACCCTTAACAATTAGTAATTATAAGTGTAGCTGAGTGGGAGTTCCTAATCATATAGCCGAGGATCCCTTTGATCTGCCGCTGCTGTGGCACTTCCTCCACTCGGAGAGCATGTGGGCCGGGCAGTGCGGGCCTTGCTGGGAATTAGGGCCAGGGCATACTTAGGTGTTCAAAAGGGTTTCCGGTTTAAGGCTTTGGGGTTCGAGGGCTTTAATGCTTAATTGAAAGAGTCTCTTAAAGTCATGGAGTTCATTAGTAGGTTCAGGGTTCCGGGGCTTTGAAGTCTTCAGGGTTCTAGCGTTTAGGGCTTTATAGTTCTAAGGTTCAGAGTTTATTAGGGCTAAGCTGAATGCTAGGGTTCTATCCTGAAAAAATATTATTCAAAGGTTTAGCTATAGCAGGCTCTGGTTTAGGGCATAAGGTTCCGGTTCAGGACATATGGGAGGAGCTTGAGGTTTTTGTTGCGATTGAGTGATCACAGTGGCCGGGATGGAACATGCCTGCTAGAGTCGATGGTTCTGTGTGCGAAATTATATTTAGATGGATGTATTTGCCAGGGCACTTTGGAAAGATCGGTTGAAGCGCATGTAGTTGGCCTTGTAGCACTCATCCTGTCAGGCACCGCTTGGAATTACCCTAGCAGGGATATGAGGACGAAAAAGAAACACTAGTGATAGACCCTGAACCCCAAACCTTCAATTGCTTCTCAATCTCATCCAATCGGTCGTCCATGCTCTTACCATCACCCCCGGAGCAAGCTGGCTTCTCGGGAGCCGTCAGACCCGGTGCGGGGTTGGGGTTGGCAGCCTGGGGTGCTGACATCTGGACATCGGCTGTCTGTGGGGGTCCGGCTGCTTCTGCTGGCGATGGCTTCTCCGGAGCTGCTTCTGACGGCGATGGCTTCTCCGGTTCGGGTTGGGGTCCAGCTGCTTCGTCTGATGGCGACGGCTTGGTCGGCTGCGGTCCTGCTGCTGTCTGCTCTTCGCTGGCCAGTGTTGCCGCCAAGATGTTGAAGTCCGCTGTCCCGGGCCGCAGAAGTGCTCTCTGCGTGTCAGACAGCTGGAGGCGATCTATGAGCCCAACGAGGTGCGACAAGGTATTCTGAACGGCAGCAGGTAAGGGTTCGATGCCACCCCGATTGGGAATGGCATCGGTCACGAGGTGGCCAGCGGTATCGGGCTGGGGCTTGGCTTCGGTCACAAGGTGGCCAGCGCTATCCGGCTGGGGCTTGGCATCGGTCACAAGGTGGTTAGCGGTATCGGGCTGGGGCTTGGCATCGGTCACCGGGTGGCTAGTGGTATCGGGCTGGGGCTTGGCATCGCTCACCGGGCGGGCAGGGTTACCGGGCAGGGGCTCGGCAGCGGGCTCGGGCTCCGTAGTTGCATCGTCCTCCTGTCAAAATTGACATTATAGGGAAGGGAGAGAGAGCGAGAGCGAGAGAGCGAGAGAGAAAGAAAGAGAGATGCACCCCAACACCCGCACCCGAGCAAGAAAACTAGCTCCTGCAGATTTAACTCTGACAAATCCTTCGTGATCTGCGTAGCAAGCTGCATGTCGATGTCGTCCATGCCCGTCTCCAGCTGAGTGCTCTCAACCATCATCTCGTTGTGAACTTGACGGGCCTTTGTGAGTGCTAGACTTCAGAGGTAGTTTGTTGGGACAGTTTGGGGTTCATTAGGTTTGGTGATATTATTTTTCCTAATCAGACCACATTTTGGAGACCATCCTGATTTATAGGCCAAAGCAAGTCGAGTCTGAAAGAGCTAATAGTCAGGATCGCAAGCAATCCCAGAAAAGGGTACTTTAGCTGATAACCCATATGAATTATAAGAGCCCCCCCTAAAGCCTGAAACGAGCTATGTACAGACCCATATACATCTAGCTAGTTGCTGACTTTCAGTAGGGTTTGGGGGTTTGGGTATAACCGCTAGCTTGATAGACGGCAAGGTTTGAATACTTTAAAGTTATAGGGTTTCGGGCTTGCCCTGCCCCATACCTCGCCCCCAGCACGCAAACCCATGAAACCCCTTAATCACTGATAACATAAAGCTGCAGCTTGAAATCCTGTCGTACAACAACCGGGGTCTCAAACTCCGTAGTCTCAGAGTCCAAGGAGTTGGCACTGCTGGAGCGCATCACATCATCGATGTCCGAACCTGGGAATGCATTTTTGCCTATTGGGAGGTGTGCTGTTCGGATATTGTTGCCAACAAGGGACTCTGGAAAAGTTTCTGAGGCGTCGGGTTCTGGACCTTCAGGGCCTTGGGGTCAGGAGTCTTGGTCGAAGGTGTGGCGGCCGCTGTCGAGGGGGTGCGCGCTGCACGCACTCGCTTGCTGTCATCCACCAGCATCTTCTCACCAGCCTGTTCCATTGTGCAAGCCGACATAGCTTTCACAACATCTTTCCTTCGCTTGGCACTGTCCATTGCCGCTTTGGCAACCTGCACATGGCCAAAACACACAAAACCCTTTGGCACCCTTGCAACCCTATCCCCGACACACCCAGGCATGCCTACTCTTGAAACAGATTCCACCCAAAGTGAACACTGCACGAGAGCCTTCATCAAGGTTTCCTCTTCCGGAGAGCTCATGTTGTGGATTTCTCGCAGCAAATGTGCAATCAGGGATCTCTTGATCAGCAAAAACTGAGGTTGAATTCAGGGTTTCTATCTATTGCGTTCGATAGCTCCCAGGCATCAGAAGCAGGCTGGGCAGGATCACGCAAGCCCACGCTGGAATCACGCTCTCCTTTCCTGTGCGTAGAGCATTTTACAAGCTCCAGTGCAGAATCACGCTTGGCAAGATCACGCAGGATCACGGTGGAATCACGGTGGGATCTGCGGCATTGGGGCTCCTAGTGGGACTACAGAACTCGGGGTTCAGGCACCTCACCGATCCTGTCATACACTAATTAATCACTGGGCAGTGTTGCACCTTCTCTCATTAGCTGTGGAAACTCGCACAGCATTCAAAGTTGCAGATAATCAGGCCCCGCGTTCATAAAGCTGGGGGTCGAATCGGCCCTGAACCGCTTCCTCCTGAAGAAACAGCTCCATCTCAGAGATATTTGCATACTGCCACAGGACATCCAGCACAACCTCGAAACACAACAAGGCGACACAGGAACTCACAATAAACAAACCATGCAAAACGAGACAAGCCGAGGTACATCCTGCCGATGCTGCCGGCTGCTGGCAGCCTCTGCGACATCCCGACGACGCTGCACCTTGTGGCCACAGGAACTTAAGTAGTAGTAGTAGTAGTAGTAGTAGTAGTAGTAGTAATAGTAGTCGTAGTAGTAGTAGTAGTAGTAGTAGTAGTAGTAGTAAGTAGAAGTAGTAGTAGTCGTCGTCGTCGTCGTCGTAGTAGAAGTAGTAGAAGTAGTAGCAGTGGTAGTAGTAGTAGTAGTAGTAGTAGTAGTAGTAGTAGTAGTAATATAGTAGTAGTGGTAGTAGTGGAGTAGTAGTAGTAGTAGTAGTAGTAGTAGTAGTAGTATAGTAGTAGTAGTAGTAGTAGTAGTAGTAGTAGTAGTAGTAGTACTAGTCGTAGTAGTAGCAGTAGTAGTAGTCGTAGTAGTCGGGTTGGCTAGGGTAGGGTAGGGTAGGTTAGGGTAGGGTAGGGAGGGCAAGTTATACTCTGTTAATTTTGAAACTCAGCAAGGTGGGGTAGCGTAGCGTAGGTGTAGGCTAGGGTAGGGTCGGCTAGGTAGAGTAGGGTAGGGTAGGAGGGCAAGTTACACTCTGCTGAATGGTAGGGTAGGGGTAGGGTAGGGTAGGGTAGGGGTATAGGGTAGGGAGGGAACACCCATTCTGATTTTTGAAATTCAGCAAGGTAGGGTAGGGTAGGGTAGGGGTAGGGTAGGGTAGGGTCGGGTAGGTAGGGTAGGAGGGCAAGTTGCACTCTGCTGAATATTGAAATTCAGCAAGGTACGGTAGGGTAGTAGTAGTCGTAGTCGTTAGTAGTATCAGTGGTCGTCGTAGTCGTAGTAGCAGTAGT